GGGAAGCATATCCTCATAGGTTATAAATCTGTTCACTTCTTTTGCCTTTTTTGGTAAAACATAAACATAACTTAAGTTCTTGCCTTAAACTCAGCCACGCTAAATGGTCCTCTTCAGAATTTCCTTCGTTTTGCTATTGATAGACTTGCATCATGTTGTATGTTTGGATCCTAACAGGCTCCAACTGATCTACTAGCCAAAGTGAAGTCAGCAAAGTCCTAAAACCTTATATCTTGCTAAATATGCATTATTCCCTTTATCTTCCCTGCACTTCAGGAAGTATCTAGTGTCCTAAAAGCTACTGATGTTATCTGAACAGTTGTCAGGGTTGTGTAAAGGAACTGGCAGATTTAAATATCGCTAGGTATCTGCTAAAGGAGATAAACCTGTTCTGAGAAACCAAATTATTAAGATGACTTTCCTTGGCTGTTAAAAAGGGTCCAGTCTTGCTCTCCATCTGAGCTAGCTGCTTTGACAGTGCTTTCAGTAAAATGAGAATGCTTGTACTGGTGTTGGATCTTGTGGCTGCCTGGCACATTGCGAGTATGACAAGACTGTAACTGGGCTTTAGTCCACAAGTTGATGTTCATCGGATAGAGGGTGGGGTTTTTTGTATTTTTATTTATTTATTTAGACAGAATCTAGCCCGTTTCCTATGTCTAGGAGTACTCTTCCCTCTAGATGCTGAGGGAAGAGTACAGAAAAGCAGAGAAAATACATTGAGATGTTTTCCTGTGGAATTCTGCTTGTAACATTAAGCTGATTATGTATCCTCTTAGCCTTTATTTCCTGTTCAGATGGGTTCCATAGATAAGGGTCTTCTCTTTTATCCTGTGGTACAATAGCTTCTTTTGAGAGACACCTTGCAAAACTAGTTGTGTAACTCCAGCTGGACTCATGACCTGGATCTCCTTGTCCACTTGCTTCAGAGACTTTGAAGGGCTCTAAATAGATTTGTGAGGCATGGCTTTTCTTACAAAACCTGCATTACATCTTAGCCAATGTATCTTACTTATGACCGCTAATTCTGTTCCTTGTTACAGTTTTCCATCTGTTTGTCTGGAACACGCTAGGATTGGTTGTCTGTAGTTTCCTGTCTTTCTGGTTAAAGTGCTCCACTGTGAACAAGGACATCGTAGGTTGATCATCTGCTGAGTAGTTTCTCTGGCTCAGTCTGGTGTTCAATGACAGACAACACAAAGCAATTTCTCCCTTTTCTGCTGGCAGTGCACAAGTGTGCACCTGGGAAGGTGCCACAGAAGGGAAGGTGATGCTGGTTCACAGCCTGTTTGTGCACATCTGCATTTGCCATGGAGCCTGTTGTACAGTCAGCCATGATAAAAATCACCATCTTGGTTTCCACTGTGACACTGAAACTCCTATCTTCATGGTGGTCAAAGGGTATCATTTGACATTTCATGTTTTATTGTAATTTTCAGTGTAGAAAACATTTAACACTCTAGTGGTTTTAATGGTATTTAGCATAAGCAGAGCCATTTTACAGCTGTTTTATAAAAATATTTCAGTTTTATACTTTTCTGCTTCAGCACAGAGAAATTTCTCACCATCTTAGACTCTTGCTTGTTTGTATTTGCTAGGCTTTTTTAAAGGAGATTGTCCTTAAAATGTTTTGTTTTGGTTTTTGTTTTTTTTGGGTTTTTTTTCTTCTCCTCCTTTCTTCTTATAAAATCTTATACTTGTGATATGTAAGGTGTGCCTGCAGGAGGCAGCTGGAAACTTGGTGATCAGTATTAACTGATGCACCAGGAAAGGTGAAGTATTGATACCTGGAAGGTTTCTGCAATTTCTTCCCTTTTGCATTGCATTTTGTTGTCTTACAAGTACTCTTTCAGATTCCTCTTGGCCCAACCTCCAATGTTCTTCCAGCTACTTTTATATTCCTGTGTCCTTGTCTCCTTAAGAGCTATTTTGGGTAAAAATAACTTAGTTTCCTATGAAGTTTTCCTGAGAAATACTGCTGGACAGGACCGAGGTAAGCACCTCCTCCAGGATTTTACCATTTTATGCTCCTGTTTATGTGTATGTATATATAATATATGAAATTGCTATTGTGTGTTTTACTGGATAGAGCCAGGAATAGCTGTCAGCAGACCTGAATCTCTTCTGAAATCTAGTGCTAAGGCTGTTACTTGGTCTTGGTTTCTTAACCTCCCCTTTCCTCAGTTTCCTTACTCAGGAATAAACAGTATTAACTTGTCTTTCTGAGGTGAGTTAACACTTTGGATGAAGGTTTTTCTCAGTGTGTCATGTTTTTGCTTTGTATCATTGTGCTGTTAGCTGGGCATCTTGCAACCATTGTGCCAAAATAACAGAAACCAATGGTTGTATTTTTCTGGTTTTAGTTGCAGAGATATTTTATCATTCTGAATTCCAGCTGTATATATCATAGCATAAAAGCTATGGTTCTTCGACATGAAAAATAGCCACTCTGATGAAGCCAAACATAAAAGCATAAGGTATGCAAGGAGTTCAGAACTTAAAGTAACATACATCTTAAATCTGCTGATGTCTGTAAACACTGTTTTGCAACAGTTTTTAATATGTGAAATGATGCGTGCTGAAGATCATGAATCGATCAAATTATAGTGAAGAGTGTTAAGACGACAGCATAAACCAGAGAATGGCAGCAGTGCCTGGTTTGTACTACTTATCTCTGGTCTGACAGTGTTTTCTATCATAAATCTGTTTGTTTTATAACTAGGCCATAAAACCTTACTTCAGGCTGCAATGTAGCAGGATATGCTGTAGTTTAAAAATTGTGCTTTTGTAGAAAAATACACCAGTAATTTGTAGATTGAAATTGCAGCACTTCAAAAATTATCTACATTTCTTTTGCGCTCCTATAACTTGTACTTTTTGGACTGGATTTATATTCCATATAAATCTGTGATCAATCCTATTTGAAACTTGCCGTCTCCTTGGCTTCATCAAATTCCTTTTGCAGTGAGTTTTATATATATACAGGTGTGACTTACTGTTAGAAAATGCTCCTTTATACTTTTTGTAACTAGATGGGGGAACTCGCTGAAACTCCACAGGAAGGTGATGAGACTGAAGTGAGTTTTGGATTTGTTTTGTTTAAAAGGCTGGATGTGTATAAGGGTAACAAGAACACACAGTTGTTACAATATTTATTTATTTATCTTCACTCTGTTAGGAGACTAATGTCAGTTTATCCCATGCTTCATCTTTGCATTCCTAACACTTCATCTGACCCAGCTGGTATTGACCAGTCTCACAGACAGGAAACAAGCATGTGGAGCACAACGGAGTCTGGCAAGTCCCCATCTTTCTACTGAATACTAAAAGTAGGTTGGTGTAATCTGTTTTAAAATGATCTGTTTTTAACATTAGCGTTAACTAAACATTTAGCATACACATCCTTCAGCCCTCGACTAACGGAAAAACTGAGAGCTCTACTTTAGAATGACAAGATTTTTTTATTATTATATCACTAATAAAGTAACAAAAGGATGGTGGCATCAGAGGACCTCCTGTGATCTGTACCATCTCTTGCAGTCACATTAGAAATGATCTGTAAATCAATTTGACAGAGTTCATCAATTTGAGCAATATATGCTGGATACACACCCAGTTCGCATGCTGAAAGGGATGTTCAAATTACCTTAGCTCAAAATCCATTCTGCTTTTTGTAGAATGTTGTGAAATCAAGTGGAAAGAATGAAACACCGTCAGTGAAAGAGGGAGAGTTAAACACCAGCTGACAAGAGACTTGTTACAAGCATTGGCAATAGTAGAGCTTTGCATTTGGTTTGTATGCTGAGTGCTGTGTACCAGGAAGAACATCAAAAGAATACTTTTAAGGCAAAATAAGGTATAACTCCTTGCTCTTTGATAGTGTGAAGGGCTGCAGCAAGGATGGTGGCTCTTGGAGGCCTGTGGTTCAGGTCGACGCAGTGTTACAGGGGTAACACCATTTTGCCCCTGACAGGGCAGCTGACTTTTTCCCAGGATCTGGGGTATCTGTAGGGCAGCTGCAGCTATTGCTGTACTGTTTTGGAAAGATGAAGACTGTGGGTTTAAATGATAGTGAGTTTAGTCCTGGTCCTGTTTTGGAAAGATGAAGACTGTGGGTTATAAATGGGTTTAAATGATAGTGAGTTTAGTCCTGGTTCTGTGTATCACCTCGGAGGTTCAGCTTCTTGTGTTTACATGTTCTAAGGTAGTATCTTTGTTCTAGCTTTAGTATTTGTCTAATGAGAGACACTTTTCATCATCTGAGGTATAATGTTTCATGCATAATTACTCCTACTGATTACTTTGAAAAAATTAGAGATTTTATATTTGTGAGGCAAAAGGAAAAATAATACTGTAGCTGAAATCTTCACTTTATTCACAAGCCAAACGTAACCCAGTAATTCACACTGCCAAGTTCCATATGCAGCACTAGCATGTTCTGTCCCCTTGGTTTGCAAGGACTGGCTATGCATGTGTACTTCACAAAAAACCTGCCAAGTACAACTTTGCTCTTTTCAAGGGGACAGTTTTGTACCCATGGAACGCTTCTCACATCCCAGCTTCAGTGTGATCCATGATCTCTGAGATCAGGAATGACCTTGGAACAGTGGAAGGCAGAGATTTTTGCAGGTACAGTGTTGTAATCTTTTTGGAAAGTATGGCTGGTTTTGTAGTACCTGGTAGTGTAACTTCCTGATTTCAGAAATTTGGTCATGTTGTTTCAAGCCGTTGTTGCGTGGTTTGTAGTCTCGTCTCAGGAAGGTTGCTCCTTCAACCTCGTGCGGGACTACAAGAGGCAAAACAAAACACAACCCCTCCAGGCTTAGCTGGTTTCTTAATTGAAAGCATGCTGCTATAGACACTGATTTTTTTTATTTCTTTTTTTTTTAATAAACTTTGCCCTCCTTCCTCCCACCCCTAATTAAAAAACAGCAGCTTGATAGCACAGCAGCAAATGCACATTAATATCAAACAGAATTTTCACTACCATTTTCATATTAACATGAAATGTCAGAATGTTAAGTTAGCTAGATCTGCACATGGGACCATTCTTGCTCTTAAAGGCTTTAGGCTGGAACAGAGCCCAAAATTTTTAAAAGAAATGCAACATTTCCAGATCAAATATTAATTACATGCTATATAGAATCATATTTTTCAAACAAATTTTATAAATAAAATGCTAGGCCTTTCAAATCATCAGGAATATTAATTTTGGATTTGAAAGATTATGAAAGATAAACAACTACCTAACTGTGAATTAGAAAAATATTGGCCTAGGTTGCATAAAAACCTCCTTTAAATAAATACCGTAAGTTTTCACTATGAAAATTCAGTGGCATTGTACTTTAAAAACCCATAATGAATTACCCATCCCATTAATGATAAGTTGTTTTTCACAAATCACATACACATACAGGAAGTCAGATGGCCAAAAAGGCTATATACTGGGTTCATACACATTTCCACAGAAAGTACTCTTGATACACTCTGCTCCTTCATCGTAACTTCCAGACTGTTGTTGCAGTTATCAGCTGCAGATCCTGTTACCCTTTGCCTCTTGGTTGCCTTGCGATCCCAGAAGGTCCAACACCTCGAAGGCTTGACACAGTGGGTGACTGTGATGGCAGTTTTATGCATTCATCCCTCAGACCACTGGTTTAATCTCAGGGTGATTTACAGTGAGTGGTTCTGGTTTCCAGTCTGGTTGAAAAAAGTGAATATTGAATGTCCGTGCCCAGTTCTCAAACACTCGTTTCTCTGTGATGAAACGATGATGACTGCCCTTTCGTCCCCGCTCATGTGAAATGTACATTGTGCATTCATCAGGTCCCAAAGGTTCATAATAATGATAAGGTACTGAAAGATGATTAGGATCCCTGTGGAAGAAAGAAAATAGATGGAAGCCTGAGATGTTCTTCTTTACTGATTGAAAAGATGCTATCTTTAATAAGCTGATGGGCTGAAATCCACTTTTTCTCCCAGTTAAACTAAATTTCTAGGTAGCATATATCAGAATGGGGCAAGGGTGTTTTCTTTGCTCTTTCTATTGCTCTCTGTTAATCCCCTCCTCCAAGTTAAATAAAGGACAGCAGTAGCTCAAAAACAAGGGAGAGTGCTGCAGGGCTGTGTTACTACTCTGAAATTTGAAGCAAACTGTTTAAGAGATTTAAATCTAGATTGTGATTTGTAAAAAGCCTCGCAGAGGTATTTACTGAACTGCAGGAAGAAAGGGAAGGGGAAGATACAGGGGAGGTGGTTATCTGTGTCACATCAGCTTAGTTGAACGTTCCCAGTATGGTGCACGAGGTTCTGAGTGCACAACTTCTCATTGAAGTTCATTGAAGTTGAAGTTCATTCTCATTGAAGCCTGTCTGCACGTCAGGTCGGTGATACAGTCTGCTGTTGCTCAGTTTATAATCAAACATCTGATGCACAAATTGGTTCTTTTTTATTTTACAATGGCAACTTTCATGTATCTAAGCTAAAAATTAAAACCATTCACCCATAGTATCCTTCTGACCTTGTGAGCCCATCAGCATTAACCAGCAGGAGATGCAGCACTCATGTGGTGACACATAGGATACACCAAAGACCAATTAGATATTTAGGATAAAGTTCATTTTAGCAGTTCTAACCTCAATGTTTTGATGTTACATTCTCTAAAAGACACATTTGTATTATAATAAGCCAGAGTGATTCATTACCCTTTTGTTTTATTCTCTACATTAAACTGTACCCATTATGTTTTTACTTTAGGCACAGGCATTTTGGGCTGACAAGAATTCATGCAACCATCTCTGTCATAAATTCAAAGAGAGCTGGCTGTCCCAGACAGAATAACCCAATTGTACCGATCTCCACAGTTGCTACCAACAAACTATTTTGTAGTGACAGAAAAATTAATCCAAGTATTACCATTTAGTGAAGCCTTGGAACTGCTCTATGTTAAAGCCCGAGCTGAACAGGATCCTAGTACAGAGCAAGAAATCTCATGCTGATTTGGGGCTGTCAGCTCTAATGTAGAGTTGATTATTTTCATTTTGAAGAGCTAATATTTAAGCTCATTTTCAATTGAATGCATCCACAATCTGTCAGTATTCTGTCCTGGTCATTATTTTTACTGTGTAATTCTGTCACCTACGCAATTCTCTAATTTTTCTTATTTTACCATTATCCATATTGTATATGCAGTGGTAATGTATGATATTGCTGCTGCTTTCCATTTGTACCTAAGATTAGTGTTTTAATTCAATCAATCTAGCTTCCTGGTAACACAACATGGTGATCAATCTTACAAGACCAGAATAACAATAAAATTACATTTCTAGAATAAGATGGATTCTAAATTTATGGTATATATTCTCACTGGAATACATAAGAGAGTGAAAATAAATCCTTTAATACCTCACCTATAGAAAATATCTTTGTAATGTAAAAAATACCCTTCACATAGAAATTTTATACTTTTTTTAAGCTCTAACTATTAGATCTCAATCTTCAATTAATTTTTTACATACTTTTTGATACATTGGACCTCATTATAATCTCTTAAATGAATCATTTGTATGGTTACTGTAAATCTAACAGGATACATTTAATGAAATTTATTTTTTCTTAAGAACTACTAAACAAATAGGCCTCTGCCTCTGTTTTAGACTGCTCTTCCTTTCTGCACTGAAACTGGATTTTACTCTTGTGTTCTCAAGAGTAAACCTATATTGCTTGGTGGATATTTACTTCTTTAAAGTTAGGATTAGTAAAGTTGAAATTGTATCTCCAACAGCTTTTGAACAAATGCAGCCACAGTGGAAATAAGTTAACTGCTCAGGGCCCAGTACTGCACAGTAAGGCTGCTGGCCCCGATACCTCCGGGCAGATTTGGTTGGGATTCTTCCTCCGCTTCCCCACCCCACTCTTTTTTTTTTTTTTTTTTGTAATGAAGGAAGGCCTGAGTTGGGTTTGCAGAACCTGAACTGGAAGAGCAAAAAGCAGGAAATTAATTGCTGTGTATGTCTTCCCTATTCCTTTGTTGTTCACTGAAATACGCAACAGATGATAGTGGTAACTGGAATCAGATTTCTCACAGAGGATCTGTACAAATGCTGGTCATTTTTTTTCTCTACATGAACCCCAAAGTATACAGGTACAGGGGGTAGGTGGATCAGATGGAGAGAGGAAATAGAGAAGGCTTGACAGTGGTCCTCCTTCTTCTCCCTCACTCAGGTAAATATTAATTTAGCAAGGGTTACACTCTTTTACCTCTTTGAAGTAACATTCTGAAGCCTGTACCTCCCAGAAAGTGCTTTATCTGTTATGTTATCAGTATTCTACCAGTGAGTATTTTAGCAATGGATTTCCCTTTTGAAGACAGGGATTCTACATCAAAGGCTCTGAAGCTTACACCAGAGTATCCTAAGTGGATGCCCTTAGCTACAGGCTAACAGGTCACTATATTTTGTGCAACATCCTGTCAGAAACAGTCCACAAACACCTGCTGCACAGAGGGAGGCAGAGGATGGCCTGGGCACCCTGTTGGGTTCAGGCATCTCCTGATGGGTGCTGCCAAGTCTTGTTTGCAGGTATACTGGCTGAACTGGAGATGAATTCAATGCAAAAATGAAAATGCTGGTGGCTTTAGAACTCTCCAGGACTATTCTGCAGTTGACTGAGGCTTTGAGGCTAAATTCCAAATGTATTTTGGATTTAGGAACTCTTGGAAGGCAGTAGATACCTAAGACTTTTTGACTGACATCTTTCTCCTATCATGGGAGTTCTCAGTTCCCCTAGATTGCGTGCTAGTAAGGTTTGGATTTGAACTCTGGCTTGAGTAACTACACCATAACCCAAATTAACTGTACTGTGTTATCTTCTAACTCTGCAATTAGCTTGTGTCACCAGCAAATGAAATGCATGACTAATTTCTATACGGAAATTGCTTGCCACCTCATTTATTAACGTTAAAACAGATGCTGTTTTATCACTGACTGATACTGGACATTAATCAGTATTTTGTCAGACTTTGCATGCATATTAATATCACAGCTGGGAGGAATCTACAAAAGTTCTTCTATAAAATACACTATACTCCCTGCCTCATAGTCTGCCAGCACAGCAACCATGTAAGTGCTTGTACCTAATGTCAGTCATCTACTGTTTGCCACTTCAGTGCACATTTTCCCACAGATGGTATCCCACCCACAGTGGAAGCTGAAAATACAGCGAACAGTGTTTGCCTCAAAAGAAACAAGGCATGAAAACAAGGCTGTCCCATATCACATTCTGGTCAACCTCTTCCTTTATCAGTGATGAGATGTTATCAATCAACCCCCTAAAACTATATGTACTCACATGCTTTGTAAAATAATTCATATTCTGAAGGGTGAATAAAGTGTCATTAACGTGTTGAGTGATGAGTAAGGTGCTGTGCCAGGACTATGAAGATTTCTAGTTAATTTTTTGCCTTCTATTCCCAGGATCCCATTTCCTTGACCTCCATATTAGCCCTGTTTTCCAAACTATTTATGCATATTTTTTTAATTAAGTTATTACAGTAATGAGGTGAGATCCAGGCATATGGACTAAAGGGCATGACTATCTCCCATGCAGTTTACAATTCTGTGGGCACCACTTCTTCCATTAAGCCCCTCATAAGCCCCAGGAAATGTAACTAGCAACAACCGCTTCTTTGCAGTTGATTTAAAACAATTGAAAGTGGAGAGAGGGAGGTAAGACAACATTAGATTTAAAAGCTGTACCCAAAGGAATAAATTAAAGGATTTCAAATGCCAATTTTCAGGCAAATTATCACAGATAGGAAATGGCCTGGCAGTCAAATTCTTATAGGAGAATGATCTGGTTCCATAACTGGAGCAAAAATTATTCATATTGGTTAAAATAAGGCTCAGAATTAAACTTTATGTTTCTGTGAGTTCCAGAAGGCACATGAAGAGAAGGAGGGTTAAAGAGAGCTCTTCTCACTGACACCCTGAGTTTTCCTTGTGTGCATGGGTACCAGAGATATCTGCAAGGAGCCAGCCTCTCGCTGCTGCCGGTACTCCAGTGGACAGGGGTTGGAGTTACTACAAACTGCGTTAAGGCTTGTCTGTGTCCTTCCCACTGATGGTGCTGAGCAGCCACAGAGAAACACAACAGCACTGCAGTGCCTTCAGGAACCGAGGTGCTACCTGTGCACCACAGTCTGGCTGCTGCTGGAGGGAGGAAAGAGGAAAATCCTTGATGTCCCAGTTCAGGAATGAGGCCTGTGCATACGGCAGGCTGCCAGAGGGAGCTCAGGGAGGGAGATGCTTCCCATCTGGGGTGCCAGTTTGCTCCAGCAAAGGCTAGGATCCAGTCCCTAGGCACTGGAAAAAATACAGCAAGATGGCTCGTCTTTCTTGTGACAAAAGAGCGAAAGGCACGAAAGCCACGCTCTCCAAAATCTTTGCAGTGCGGTGGAAGCACAAGCTTTCACCTTATTCTAGAATGTGCAAGTCAGATGTATTCAACAGCATGAGAGCCGTACCAAAGCTATTAACCCTTACTACAGCATAAATCTGTAGCTAAGTAAAGGGATTTGATATTACATAGAGCTTTGCTGTGAAGTCCTAGAAATTTATAATAATCAGGTCACCAATTCCAGTTCAGGTATAAAAATCAATGTCCAGTGAAAGTAAATAGAAATGAATCTAAAACACGTTGTTGCAATTAATAGTGACAAATCTTTTAGTCTGTACTCCAGACTCCTTCACTAGACTATTTTTCCTGCACGAGCAATTTGGTTAATGATCTTAAGCTAATAATTTGTAGCAGAATCAACAGTGTGATATTCATGATACCTTTGAGATGTCCTTCACGTTACAGATGTGATACTAATTTAGTTCCATGACAGTGATCACCCACAGTCATTACTCCACAAATTAGTACTTTAAAAAAAAAAATGGGTATCTGCTGAAGTTGTAGATCTGGTGATATTAACTATGAATAGAAATAAGATTTTTAATTATTATTTTTTTTAATCCTAATGGTGCTTTAGTTGCACAGCAAGTAAAGTACCTATACAATCTCGCACACACACACGAGAGAGGTAGGGTGGGGTTGTTTTGGTTTTTGGTTGGTTTTTTTTTCTTCTTCAAGTGGTAGATTTGTATTTTGTTTGACTGAAAACCAGGAAATATGGCTTAAAGTTACAGAATATTTCTTTATTTTTGCTATTTTATTTTGTTGTCTTATTTCTTCGAAAGGAAGCACTGTTTAACTTCTGAATGAGTGGCTGAAGAGCAAAGAAGGTTAACTGTATTTATGGCAAGAGACTCCTTTCATAGATCTTCATGGATAGCTCCTTCCAGACATGGCAACTACAGTTTTCCCCTTCATCATCTGGGGAATAAACCTGAAGTAAAGATACTTTATATTCTTTTGATTAAGAAATGACCTTTTCCCTTTTTACGACGAGGTAAGTGTACCATTATGTAAAGATTTTTTTATGCAGGCTGTAAGCATTAATACATCTATCAATGGTAGGACTGATGACAGTCTTTCTTGTGTTATAGTTTAATATTATATCATCTCTTTTACTTCAGTGTATCAATTCTATGAAAGCCTTTCATATGGTCTCGGTGACAATTTTAGTCTTCATTAAATAAACGGTTGTGGTGCTGTGTTTTTTTGTTGGTTTTTTTTTTTAAATTAAATATGTATCTAAACTAATCTGACTTTGCCTGAAAAGTTAGGATTGAACACTGCTTTACAGTGAAGTGCTGTCTTTTACATTTTTAGATCATCAGTTTATTTAAGAATTACTTCCATGTGCCACTGGAATACAGCCACTTCTGGAGTACGACAGACCAGCCACCTAGAGAAAACTGAAGAAGTGTGTCTTGGCCAACTGAAATCACAGGGGAACTGAAAGGCTGTGCTGTGGAAGGTAGTTATGTTGTCTGGAATATCTGATCTTGTTTGTTATTTTCCTTGGAGAATTCCTGATGAAATCTGGCAGTACATCACTGCATATAACAAACATCAGTGGTTTGTTATAATTTGTAGAACATCTTACAAAGTGGAATTTAGTGTTGACATGGGATCAGGACTAGGTTTGGGCACATGACCATATTTTTCTGAAAGGCCAGAGTGCTAGGCCTAGTCATGGATGGAGAGGTGGTACTTCAGTCAGCATGAAGATTACTAATGGAAACCAAATTTGTATGAATTTATACTAGATCAATGCTTTGCGTCATGTGGCTAACATGATTTTGGTCTAGTACCAGAAGTCTGTTTCCTGCTGTCACTGACCCACAGTAGGAAACCTTAACCAGCACCTTCGGCCCAAGTCCCGAGTGTGGCTGGAGGCACAACGCAGCTGTACAATGGACACAAGCCATTATTGTGAACTGCAGGAAGGGGCCACATAGCTTCCCCTGACAGAACTTGTGTGCTGCTTCTACCACTTGTGGCCCACACCCTGCATGACCAAAATGAGTGAATACAGGACTGTTCATCAATTCTGCAGGCCCAAATTCTGGTGGGTTTTTTTGGTGGGGATTATTTAGGAAGCCAGTTTACTGGACGATTCAGGTTTATGTGATAGATACACAACAACCTCTATTTGAGTTATGTATAAAGCTCAGTTTATAAACCAGTCACTGTGAGAACTCTGTTCCTCTATTAACTTGAGGGAAACTTTAAAAACAAATTATAAAAGTAATGTTTTCCAGTACTGCTTTTTTCGGATTAATTTCATGCCAATTATTGCATTACTTTTAGCTGATAAACATTTAGAGACTAAAAGAAAAAAACAAGATGGATTAATTCTCCCATGCTACAAACAAAATTTTTAAATATTTTATATAACATAATTAAATGCTGTTTGCTGTTTTCAGAATCCGATCTTGGGACACGTTAATTAATTGTTTTAAGAGGACTGAAGACATGTTGCAGAGAAAAAAAAAATTAAAAGATTCAGATATTTATCTTTAATGTTCAAACTTGTTGGCTAATAATGGTTCCAAAATAAATCCTACCTGCAGAAATCCGGTGGCACCATGCCATAAACATTTATCCTGTCACAGAGCTCTAATGCGATAGTCATTGTGAACCAGCCCGTGCTAAGCCAAGTGTTGGATATCTTCCTGAAAGCAAAAACATAATTAAGTTTCTAGGCTGACAAATAATTCTTGAGCTATCTGAAGCAATTTCTAGGCATTTGTTTTGCTCTTGTGAAAGATTATGAAAATTGGGCAACCAAGACTACTTTGCTCATTCATCTTTTAATGATTTTGCTAGTGTCTTCTGTCAGTGGACTAATCTATGCAGAAACTGCCCTTACTGTAATTAATTTTGGGCAAAGCAATGTTAATATTTAGCTGACCTTTTGGTAAGTTTACTTTAAGTGACTGAAACTTCATGTCCTATATTTATATTCTTCTGCTAGTAGTCTATGCACATCTATAATCATCTAATGGAGCTTACACGCTAAGTGCTCAGAAAGATGCATCACGAGGGATGAAGAGACTGCTTAAAAGGTGCCTCCCACAGCATACAGTCTGCTGGAGTGAGATCTGGCCTCAAGTGCTTGGTCTTTCCTCCCACCCTGTCCATGATTTGGTTTCTAGAAGCTCCCAGACACTCATTGGGACTGCTGGCAGGGAACTCTTAGCTGCAGCTATGCCTGTCCATTAGCCAGCCTGGGAAATCTTCATCCTAGGTGCTACCCCTCTGCCTGCCCTGACTCCTGTCCCTGCCTGGTGGGACCTTTGAATATAAATGACAGTGCTGCAAGGGAGCTTTCTAAGGCAGCTCCTTTCCTGGCCTTCTCTTTAAAGGAAGCACAACTGATCCCAGTATTATTTATGCAAAATAGGAGGTATCTCCATATGACTGCTCACAGATGTAAGAGATTTACAAGCTGTGCTTAAATTTTGCTGTATCACAGGTTCTTATCTGCAAAATGGCAACAGCAGCCTTTCCTCTTCCTAGCATTTGTTTGTCATTGCTGTTTAGTGGGCAGGAGCTGGGGACTACAATGGTTACTGGTTGCCTGGCACATGCACTGGAAATCCCAGTCCTGTGTTAAGTTCCTGCACTGTCCCTGTGCCAGGGAGAGCTGGCAGTCTTGGAGCAAGAGGGTCAATGAAATGCCAGTGAGGAGCATGTCTTAAAGGTGCTGTAAAGGCACATTTGGGGGCAGCCCTACAGGACCAAGTCAGGCACCCCTCTTAGAAACTGAGGCACATAAAGTCAGGTGTTTGCTCCAGAGAAAGTAATTTCACTCAAAGGTCTCCTTTCAAATACTGTTAAAGAAGGAGACAGCAGGTCTCCCTAATGGCTTCTCACTCAGCTAGAAAAGTCTCGCAGGAAGATGATCAAGCATATGTAATCTGCATCCCAAAAAGGCCTCAGATTCCTGATGACAGACTGTCACAGGGACTGGCTCTCCTTTCATCTCTTACTAAAGCTGAGGCACCGTGAGAGCAAGTGAAGGCTCCTGGACGACTTGTGCACTGTGTCAGATTGCACTAATACGGAACCTACATTAACCCCATTCCACCACACCTATATCTGCTTGATACCTGTAAAATTTTGTGACCCCCCCTCTCCCCCAAAAAAAAAAGCACAGCAGAGAACATGACCATCAGAGCAGTCACCTGGGAATCCCAGGCTCTGACCCCAGTTCCAAGGCCATCTTTTACAGTTTTACCCAGTGACAGTGGAATGCACAACAGTCCTGGAAGCAGGAACCTGAAGTCACAACAGCCACTGTAAGCAAGCACCAGCACTCACAGTATATAATTCAGCAGGCAAGAGCCCACCATGCAGCTTCCCAAGCTAATGCTGAGCAAGCTGGTTCCATGTAGGTCATCTACAGGGCAGTAGGAGGGAGATGTCTTGAGCACTGTCAGACTGAGGAATGCCTTGTACCAAGGTTTCCCATTTCCTCAGTGAATTAGACTATTGCAAAGAAAAAAAAAAAAGTGGTGGTATCAGTGCTGGCTGCTTAAAAGGCACTTCTAAACATAAGGGAATTCTTTAACCAAAAGTGCCTGAAGGATGCTGGGGAGCCTGGGTAATTTGTCCTGTCCTTTGTGGGTCATCTGGTAATGTATGAACTCCTGAAACGTACATTTTCACTGCTCCTGACATACAGTCTTTCAGGGTAAGCTAGCATTTGGAGAGTAACGTGATTTAAGCATCTTATTAGTTCCAATTATGGGGCTTTATTTATTTTCTGAATTTGCACTTAAGCTTGTGGGGGGGGTGGTGCAATTTATCACAATGTCATAGCTGGGTCATAAGCTCAGCAGAAGCCTTCAGGCACTGCAACAATACAAAACAGTAAATAATCATCTTTGGCTCAAAATTCTTAGGAAAGGGAAAGATAGGGAAAAGCCTAAAAAATTTGCTTTCCTGGCACTTCAGAGCTTCTGAGCCTATGAATCGCTAGGTAATTCAGGAACATGTTCAGGCTAAGAGTACTACTGCAGCTTACACAAAGCCACTGTTTTAGGTGCCTAAGACCTTACACTCCAAAACTGAGGCAGTTACTACATACAGACCATGACCCAAGTGGCTGGGCTTTGAACAGGTCAGGTAACCTGCCTAAGCTGTCTGCCAGGTTAGTTTTGCTTTTGCTTACATATACTTATATTGTAATTTAGTGTTTTCAATAAACAGGAGAATAACTGAATTTAAATAAACTAGCTTAAAAGCTAAACAATGAAATAAAGACTTATAAACTTATTTAAGTACCACTTTGGCCTCTTTAAGTACTGTGTCTGTAGGACAGCAATACAGAAACAGGTTGCAGTGCCTTGCCTTTTCATAAGAGATCTGAACAAGAGCCCAACAAAAGAATACTGTTTTTATACCTAATCAGCTGTAATGAAAGAATATGAAGAACTGTCATGTGCTTATTAGGGGAAATTATCAGATATTCTTTTATATGATGAACTAACACACTGTGCTGATAATTCTGTAGTGCACACTAAATTACAATTAAAGGCCTTTCTGCTCCACCAAAATCTCATTTATAATCTCTATGGAAATACTCTTCCTGCAGTTATTTCATTTATGCTTCCTTTATCTAATTACTATAATATTGGTTCTGAATCATATTTTCTTAATGTACCCTTATTCAATTATAAAGTTATTTTCAAGTACAGTTACTTTATAATACCAAGTATATTGCTCTGCAGCCTTTGTCATTCACCATACTATTTAACTGGTAATGTTTTCTGAAGGTTTCCCTTAATTTCAAAATCAGCTTTTTTTTGAAAAGCACAATACAACCAATTACCTTTTTTCTCATCATTTTCAAGGCAGAAATGAATGGTTTGATTATTGCAACCTTGCAATCAGGCTTCTCTCTCCCTTCTTTGTTTTTTGCAGGCAATAATGTCAAGAGCTCAGCAGAAACCTCCCAGTGAACAGCAACATTCTGGACTGTACAATGTTCTACTCTTGCCCCCACAGCTACATAAATTTTCTTCCCTTACAAATTCCTTCCTACCTATGTTTCTTTTCATCTTCCCTCTCTTTTTCTGTGCTGCCTATTCATTTATTTTCATCTCCTGTTTTAATCTTCTTAGTCCTTCAAGTATGCTGAATGTGCCCTCTAAAGG